TATATATATATATATATATATATATATTATCGAGTGAGAATCGAACGAGAATGCTAACTATTTAATTGACTACAAAAACAATCAAATCACTTGTAAAATCACATGTGATTTTATATTAACGGTAAAAAAAGATGTGCATGCGACTTTGACCGTATCTCAAATTGCAGGATAAAATTGCATGAATCACATGTGATTTAATATAAAATCACATATAATTCAATCATTTTCATATATTTCTTTTAAATAGACATCGTTCTTGTTTAAATCCTATCTTCCATATTACATGATTAAAGAAAAAGACAACGCTTTGTCAAGTCACACATAATCAAAAATCATAAGAAATGAATCAAATGAGTGGTGCTTGATTGGTTTGAGCTTGACTCCAAATGTTAAAAATACCTGGAGGTCCCAGGTTCAAATCCAAGAAGGAATAAAAATCCCCATGTGACTATAGAGATTCAAATATGATGACTCTGAACCATCTACAAAACAGGTGGCCGTCCTACAATTAGTCGACTAACCTAACGAGTTGAATATATCGGTTAATAAAAAAATTCATAAGAAATGATAGCGGCAACTTTTGAATTTAAATCAAATGTGTGGGGACATAACAAGAAAAACACACACACATTATTATAATAACACCATTAATTTACGCACTTAAAATCTCTCAACAACTATCTCCAATGGAATCACCACCCATCGCCAAATCATTACTCTCTTTTTTTGTTTCTATCTGCAACTCATCATCTTCATCCTCATTCATATGAACCCTTGATTTCCTGGCTTTAATCTGTTAATGAATCTTTCAAGAAAAAAAAGCAATCCATCCCACCATCAAAGGTAAACTTCCGATCGAGAGTTTATGAATCTTTTTCGTTATAATTCATCGTCCGTACAGTTTCATCTCTTTGAAAGATTCCCAATTTGAAATCCGAGTGAATTTAGGGTTTTTTCTTGTAGAATTTGGTAAACCCACAAGCTGTATATGAAGAAAACAAACCAGTGTTTCCGACTGAGAATTTATGAATCTTTTTCGTTGTAATTCATCGTTCCTACAATTTCATCTATTTGAGAGTTTCCCAATTTGAAATCCGAGTGAATTTAGGGGTTTTTTTTTTCTTGTTGAATTGCGTAAACCCAGAATTGAAATTGGATATTTCTAGCTGTATATGAAGAAAATTTACCTGTTTCGTAATTGGGGAAGATGAAATTAGGGTCTTGATTGAGGTTTCTTGTTTGTTGATTTAGAAAGATTGGTTTTCACGTTAGGCTTTTTGATAATGGTGGTTGGGATTAGGGAGGAATCGTCTGATTCTGGGTCTAGAGATTTAATGACCCAATTGGTTATGATGGGTTGTTCTTTTGGGGGAAGTCGGTCAAGGAATACGAGCCCGATGGCTCGAGCCATAGGATCAAGAAACATTAGCCCATCTAGACAGAAGACAGTCAAGACTAAACCAAGGGGTTTAGATGAAGAAATGATTGCTAAATTTCCCAAAACTCCTCACCCAGATGTTCGAATGGAAGACGATATCTGGGCTATGTTACCCGAAGATTTACTGAATGAAATCCTGGCTCGGGTTCCACCTTTCATGATCTTTCGCCTTCGATCCGTTTGCAAAAGATGGAATTCGATCTTACAAGATAACGGGTTTCTTAAGTTCCATTCTCAAGTTCCATCCCATGGGCCATGCCTTTTAACATTTTGCAAGAATTCACAATCTCAGACACCAAATTGTTCGGTTTTCAGCTTGCCATTGAAACAATGGTACAGAATTCCGTTCACATTCCTGCCCCAATGGGCGTTCTGGATCGTTGGATCATCCGGCGGGCTTGTTTGCTTTTCGGGTCTTGATGGGTTAACTTTTCGAACCTTGGTCTGTAATCCCTTGACACAAAAATGGAGAATCCTACCAAAAATGCATAACAATCAGCAACGACAGTTGAGCATGGTTGTTTACAGAAAGCAAAGATCTTTCAAGATTATTGCTGCAAACGATCTTTATGGTGACAAATCTTTGCCTACCGAAGTTTTCGACTCAAACCTTGGCAGATGGTCCTTGCACCAGAAAATGCCGGCGGTTAACTTTTGCTCATCAAAGATGGCATTTTGTGATTCAAGATTGTATCTTGAAACACTTTCGCCTCTTGGGTTAATGATGTACCAGGTTGACTCAGGGTATTGGGAACATATACCTGCAAAGTTCCCACGATCTTTATTAGACGGGTATTTGGTTGCGGGCACCCAAAAGCGTTTGTTTTTGGTCGGACGAGTCGGGCTTTACAGTACGCTTCAAAGTATGAGGATTTGGGAGTTGGATCATTCAAAACCAATGTGGGTTGAAGTAACAAGAATGCCACCAAGATTCTTTAGAGCTCTTTTGAGGTTATCTGCAGAGCGATTCGAGTGTTTTGGGCAGGATAATTTGATTCTTTTTACGTCGTGGAATCAAGGGAAAGGTCTTCTTTATGATGTCGATAAAAAGCAATGGTCTTGGATTGCTGGTTGTGGTCTTCGGTTGCATAACAGTCAAGTGTGTTTCTATGAGCCAAGATTCGATGCTTCAATCTACTGAAGAAACGGGCAAAGATCAATGTGGGCTCAAGCCTCTTTATGATCGGTTTCTCGACAAGGAGATAGACCGCATGCACAACTGTAAGAAATTTTAGTTTCTTATATTGAAACTCTTGTATACTTCTTGAAAATTGGTTATACTTGCAAGATTTCTCAAGATTGTTAGTCGTTTTGTATTGAAATGTTGTTTGTGACCCTTTTCGTTTGGAGGGTTCTGCTTGCTGGAGAACGTTAGAGCCTAGAGGGTGGTTGTGACCTTTCCCATAGGTCGTCAGTTCAAGTCTTCTCACCGTCATTGGGATTTTTTTTGACTGTTATGTTCAGGATCCCATAAGATTATTCGATGTACCCTCAAACTGGTCTGGACATCCACATTTACAGAAAAAAAAGAACTTGAAAGGGAAGATTTTTTTAGCTTTGTTTGAAGCTTAGAAGTCACCCTAATTGAGGTAGGTTTGGACCTTGCTTACTTGCTAAGCTAGGCTGATGGCATCAAGCATGGATGACATTTTCATCCCAACCACTTTGATCTTCAAGGTTGCGGGTCCCATATACGAATCTAGATGGGACCCGTATTCACGTCATAATTTAGGGTACCTGGGATGACGTCATAAAATTCAGAGGCATCAAACTCCACCATGAATTACAGTCATCGGGAATTCGGGATGGTTGTTTACGCCTTGAAAAGGGTCCGTCCTTAAATGGAAAAAATTGAAGAAATACTTGAATGGTTGTTATTTGAAGTTTGAACCTAGAAACCAAATATTCATTTTGAGTCTACATGATAATATGAATGTTCATTTATATTCATAATGAATATTCATGTATGTTCATTATGAATATGTTGATTCATTGGTTCTCAAATAAACAAAAAAATACTCCAGATAGCAGTTGTCTGATTGAAAACAAAGGCTCATAGTCATTGATTCATTCTGTATCTAATGTCATAATGTGCTTCCATAAAAGCCAATCCAACAGGTCAATCAAATACATCAGAAAATGAACTAAAAGAACACTAGAAAGACTTCAAATTTTTCTTCCATTTCTTGTTCCTCAGCCTTCATTGATGCTGATCATTCTTTTTAACTGATTCTGCTGCACTTCTATGCAACTGACAACCCCTGAGAACTCTTCGCTGCCAAAAGACATGGTGGTGCGACTGTCGGCCTTCATCAGATGCTTCTGATTTAGCTTTGTTATAGCCTGTGAAACCTCTCCAATTGTTGGCCGTTTTCTGGGTGATTTATGCAAACATCTGTGAGCGATGCTAGCCAAGCTTCTCACTTCTTCAAGATCGCAATCTCCGGCAAGTTTCTTGTCGAGGATTTCATCTGCACCGTCTGAACTCATGGCTGCCTTTTTAACAAGAGTTGTAGATTAACGAGTTAAGCTATGCACTTCAGTGCCGCCAAGAGAAATTCTATTTAGTTAAATTATGGCAAACTAGTTGATAAACTAGTTGTTGGCTAGTAAGCTACTCCCTCCATCCCAAAATAATATCCACAATAAAAAAGATACATAGCTTTAGAAATGTGTAATCATTCTGCTTTTTAATTAACTAAATGACAATTTCAAACTTAATAATAAAGGGAGTAATAAATTTCTCCATCTTATAATTAGGGGCATAATTGGAAAAAGATAGAAAAACCCATAGAGCGTATTGAAACGCTACTTGAAGCTTACTAATTGGAAAACCTTGGTGTTGAAATGTAGCAAAATCCTAAAAGAACTATGATGAACTTACTAGATTGACATATTCCGTGAGATTTTGACGCGGGTGAATGGCTGTAATGAGTTCAAAGAGGATAATCCCGAAACTGTAGATGTCGCTCTTTGTTGTGAATTTGTTTGTAGATATATATACAGGATCAATGTAGCCATAAGTGCCTTTAACGCCTGAATTACGACCATCCCAAACCTCTTCTTTCGACAGACCAAAATCAGCAACCTATTTGATCACACCATATTGTAAAAAACTTTTTATGCATACTGGAATGACATGAAACAAGAATCTTAGTAATGGGATCTTGCCTTTGCTCTCATTAAGTGGTCTAGTAATATATTAGCCGATTTCAAATCCCGATGTATGACTGGTGGAACTGCCTGCTCGAAGAATTAATGTATATAAACTTTTATATATAGCCGAAAATGATAAGAAGAAGGAAGGAGCATGTTGATATGTATACCCCATCATGAAGATACTCTATCCCATGTGATATGTCAACAGCAATTTGAAGCCTCTCTCCCCAATTCAAGGTGTCCTTTTCATCTAAGCATGGATTCAAAGCAAAATCATAATGATAAGTTTGAGATGGGGGTAGTTAATGGCAAACTAGCTGATAAGCTAGTTGTTGGCTGATAAGCTAGTCAGGAAAGTTGGCTGATAAGCTAGTTAAGAAAATTGGATGTTGGTTGGTGAACTAGTCATGTTTGGTAAAAACTAGCTGATAAGTTAGACAACAATGTAAAATGATCTAAAAGGATATGTTAAAAAGTTAATTGAAAAAAATAGGGAGCATAATTGGAAAAAGTGGAAAAAATCCACTAGAGCTTATTGAAATGCTACTTGAAGTAACTTATCAAAAAGCTAGGTACGACTAATAGGACTGGGCTTTTTCAATAAGCTCAAAAAAATAAGCTAGCGTAAACATGGCCTAATTGTCATCACATGGTTCCAAAGTAGAATTATACTAATTAGTTTGTAGAGAATTGGGTTTGTAAGCTCCTTATAAGCTCAAAGTTGTGGGCTACCAATAATTTCTACCATGGTTTTAAGTTAGAATTCGAAGTTATTGGTCAACCTGCTGCAAGAAAGAAAAGAAACCCAAAGATCAAGAAACTAGTGAATCAACTTACCATATAGAAAGTTTGCCAAGCTTCCATTCTTCATGTATTCATAAATCAACATGTGTTGCCCTTTATCTACGCAATACCCTGCTAGATTCACCAAATTTCTATGATGCAGCCTTCCTAAAAGAGATACCTGCAAATAGGCATCCAAGTCTTATAAGACAAAACAGCAAGAAATACTTTTCTGGGTGGTTAAAGAGTTGATTGTGGTGATTAAGCCAATGGGTTGGACCTTACCTCGGTTTGAAACTCTTTCTCTCCTTGTTTGGAATCAGAAGCTAGAGCTTTCACAGCAACAACTTCACCAGCAGGCATCACTGCTTTGTATACAGGACCAAAAGATCCTTGTCCCAATATGGTTGTAAAGTTTTTCGTGGCTTTTTGGACGTCCCTGAAAAGTATATGGGTCAGACAGACTTAAAGGCCGTGTTTCACAACGATAAGCTAGCTTATTTTTGAGCTTAATGAGAGAGTCTAGTTTGTTTAGCCATAAGCTGGCTTTTAGACAAAGCTACTTCAAGTCCTCAACTAGCGTTTCAATAAGCTTCAGGAGCTCTTTCCCATTTTCTTTTCCCAAATATGCCCCTCTATTGAGAATGCCCATAAATTTTAGTGTATGCGTCTTTCTTTCTTTCTAGTTTTATTGCTATTTCTCACTCATATCTAACTTTTCAAATTTTAGCAAATATGCATTCCTCCTTTTTACACACTTTTCACTAACCGGGGTGGTTAAGGAAACCACCACTCTACTGTTTAGGATAGAGGTCAGATCTGCATACATTTTAACCCCATCTCTAGGTAGGATATACCAGGCTCGTTTGGTTTGGTTTAGAATGCCACAACCTATTTTGGTCTGAAATTTTGCACCTTTGAACTTTTAAGGGGGAGGGCGTCAAGTTTTTTCCGGTTACTTCTACATAAAGAGTATATAACTGCACCAGAAAACAATAGAACTCCTCTTGTCTTATACATTTACCAATAGGTTTCATTCTATAGAAAGAAAGTTAATAGATAGTAACAGATAAAAAGCTGTAAAAAACACATACCTGTAAGAGTATTTCAGTAGGCCAGATACTGATGCCAGTCTCTCTTTACCATTATTGCGTGTAGCGAGTGGTGAAGTTTTCACAGGATAAGTTGACAGTTTAACAGTTACAGGGTTGGAGAAGGATTCACTCAAGATAGTACCACTTTTATGTATAGGGGGTGCAAATGCAGAGCATTTTCGAAGATGAGAGCGTCTTTTATACCATCTTATGCCAAATAATACGAGTGTTGCTATAAGTATGCCAACAGTCAGACCGACAGAGACGCCGATGATTACTAAATCAGTTTTGTGAACCATATTATTGATCCCTTTGCACTATCAATAAGAACATCTTGCAAGGAACTGCTTCAGGTTTATATCATCAAAACGAAAGTTCAGTTTACCATTGACTCATATAAGAAAACAATTTAGATGAAAACTTATGGTTATTCTCACAGAAATGATGATATGATCTTCCGTTTTTTGGCAGAAAGCTCATGTTTGGCAACCATAAGCTACCTTCTTTTTGAGCTTATTGAAAAAGTCCCATTTGGTTTAAAATCCAATGGCCTTTTCCACATTTTTCCAATTATACCCTTGTATTTTCCACTTGTCATCTAACTTATCAACCAGTTTTTCCCAAACATGTCTAGTTTACCGGCTAGCTTAGCAATTAACAGACAACTTTTCAGCTAACAACTAGCTTATCTGCCAACAACTATCTAGTCTTATCATTTGGTGTCATATTTAGCGAACTTACATTGATGAAACAATATCCTTTTGCATATTACAACCATTAATTTTGTGGGAACTATTATCATATACACCAATAGATATCATCATTAATCATGACAACAAAATCATGATTAAGAGCAAAGGAATCATAGAACAATTAAGCAAAACAAGTTAATGATGAGATTATTTTATGCTTATAGACGAACTTTACACGAAATGCTTTTGAAAGACGACAAATGTCCCATGATCCTTCATTAGATCATAACCGAAAATCAAAATTGGCATAAATCAAATTGAAGCTGGTTTCTACTAGTTTCAAAATCACAATGAACTGTCATGAACCTAGCTCTGTGAGGAATTTCATCGAACAGACGGAGGGAGGGTTTATCAGATTACTCCTTTTCTCCCATACATCATGGTTTAATCTTTATCAAATCTCCCTCTTATCTCATGAGAATCAAGCTATATTTAAAACCAGGTTCCCAAATTTACTCTGTTCTTAAACCCACATAGATAAAAGTAAGAAAAACCCATCGATGAAGCCCAAAAAGAAGAAATGGATAAACAAATAACAAGAATTGATGAGGGAAAAATAGGAAAGAATGTTGAGAAAAAAGGAGCAAACCTGTTCATCAGATACTACATTGGTGGATGGCTGATCAAGAAACAAGAAGAAGAATGAAGCGGTCAAAGATAGGAAATTTGCATTTAGTGGAAAACCTATATTGACTCAGATACCGCCATTGCCGGATTGGCCGTGGAAATTGATGTGTTCTTCTTGTCCTTATGATTGACGTCAAGTGTGTTGGGGTTCTCATCATTTTGATTTTCAAGATTTCTTGCTTCAACAATGCATCCATCGTCTAGTTACAAAATTTCTAAGGAATTTGTATCAACATGACCCACACCCCAATTTAAATAAATACAATCTTTGATTTAAATTTAAATTTAACCGACCTGTGTGATTGCTCCAAAAATTAAAAGTCTTTAGAGATCTCAATTTTAAATCTAAGGAGAAATAAAAATTCCCATGTAGTCGGTGACTCTGGACTACCCGCAATGCATGTGGTATCACATACAGGTTGGATATTCAGTTTAAGATGAAAATTTTAATTTCTAAACCATAAGGATGAAAATCAAAATTATTAGCAAACCATAGTGACGGAAATTGTAATTACATATAAAAGTATAATCAATTTAATTGATATTTTTATATAATAAATTGTATTAAAATAAAACCAACTTTATTTGATATTTTTAAAACCCTGTTTTATTTTGCGGGTCCATGTATAGTTTTAAAACTTAGTTATATTTTTATGTAATTTACATATTTTATAACTGTGTTTTTGGACCAGTTTATGAATAGTTCGATTAATTTTATGGATCCTGAAGATAACAGTCAGCAAAATTTAGTAGATTTAAGAAGACCCGAACTAACAACCTATGAAAATGAGCCCCGAAACCTACCTTTAGGTTTGAAAAATAATCAGATTAGGCTTTTAAGCTAGTTTTCTTTCGGCTTACCGGACTTTTCATATACTAATTATTTAAACTATAACTGTTTTTTATTAAGAAAACCCAGAAGGGTACTCGCACAATGCAACGAGATACATTTCGATCTTAATGTTTCGTTTTTTTTCTTTATTTTCGTCGATATTATAATACGGTTCTATGTGGTTTTGAGAAAACGATAATGTTTTTATTATTTATAAAATATAAATTTGAAACAAAAATTTCTAGATATTTTGTTGTATTGTTTTTAATTATAATTTAATTGAGGTTTAATAATGGAGTAATTTATTTTCTGATTTAATCATGTAATTTTTTTATAAAATTTATAATTAAGTATTATGTTAGAACTCAATGATTATCCTAATTATATCTTATATTTTTTATATTTAAAATGAGAATTTTATCATGTATTTGATTATGTTATCTACAACTAGTTACACAAATTCAAATATAAAGCTCTAACAAGTTATATTTACGTATAATTTACTTGTAATATTAAATAATATGAATTAATATTTTATACATTAAAAAATAATTTTTAAAAGTTTTAAATAAATGAAGCCAAGGACGTTATTCGTACAAGCCCGAAAGTTAATAAATTTGCGGGTCAAATAATAAAACGCGATTGATGTTAATGTGCGCACCCCGGCGTATTTTATGGCGCAGCATTACCACCATAAAATTTGTCCTTAATGGAAAAAAAGAATCAAGCTAGGGCTTTTCAGTAACCCGTACAGTTGTACCGTTCCCATTCCTCCGGTCCACTTCGAATCCATTCAATTTAAACCACCGTACTCCTCCGCCGTAGCGACTTCCATCGCCACCGCTGGCCAGCAGCTCCATCTCTATCCCGTCTCTTAACCTGTAGGTTTCTTTCCATATCTATATCCGTGCTTGTGCGTGTTGTGTGAGTGTGTTTTGTTTGTGTTAATTGCGCCATTTAGGTGATGGTGGAATTTTGTGTATATTCATAAGGAATCGGAGCTGATGGTAAGGACTGTGAAGAATCATCATCATCAAGAAGAAGAAGAGGATGACGAAGATTTCATTTCTAGAACCACTGATGGTTCCTCACAGAAAGGTTTTCTTTTTTCATCTATACATACATGCATTATGTATCTAGATGTGTGCATGCATAATTGAAATTTAAGTTTTTAATTGAATGTAGATGGAAGGAGGAATGATCAGAAGGCGAGCTCTCATCGTTCTAAGCATTCTGAGACGGAGCAGCGTCGAAGGAGTAAAATTAACGAGAGGCATGCATGCTCGATTTTTCGTCATTTTAGTTTAATGATTATTATATTTTGTTACATACACATGCTTTTTAAACAAAGGATTAAAGAAATGGGTTAATTGTGTGCTTATTGATATCGCTGATTTGGCATGTGGGTGTCTCTATTGGGATTGCACAAACTTGTTTGGGTAAATGCTAAAGCGGGTGGGGGAAAATCTATTGGATTCCTTAACTTGATAAATTCATTAAGGGATTCAATTTCTTTTCTTTAAGCGAGATAAAACCATCTAGGTCTGAAATAATTGTCTTTTCAGACAGAAATGAATTGAGGAAAAGGATTATTGTAGTGTCATCTATTCTGATGATTGGGGAGATGTTTATTGAGATTTGTCCTCACAATTGTTGGTGAGTGTTAGCTGATAAAAAGATATATTCTCATAGGACCATGTATAACCCTTATTTATAAAACAAATATTCCAACTCCATGCTTTTGCTATGGGGAATATAAAAGGTTCCACATGTAACATGATGCATTCCTTTAACTGTGATGCAACTTATTCTAGAACAAACTTTCATATACTACGTTGTTATGTGTGAAGCTGATAATCTTGGATTATGTAGATTTCAGATTTTGAGAGACCTCATTCCTCAAAATGACCAGAAAAGAGACAGAGCTTCATTCTTGTTGGAGGTTTGTATTCTTGCTGTTTTATACAACTTCTCTTGTAGCTTCTTGATGCTTGAGTTTGACTTTGGGAGTGTTTTTGGTGAACGTAGGTCATACAATACATCCAGTTTTTACAAGAAAAATTGCAGGTGTATGAAGGAGCATATCAAGGTTGGAGTCCAGAGCCCACAAAATTGATGCCATGGGTATAATCTATAGTCATCATATCTGCATTTTGTTACTGTGATATTCTTACTTGTCAGGGTAGAAATTGTGCCTTGTCGTTTTTAATGGATTATTTTAGCAATAAACTTTTTGAGTCCTACATCTTTATGTTCATTTGTTACTGGGTGAGGTTGTCAATTTTTTTGGCAATTGGTGGTGGCTCTGTTTTTGTTTTTCCAAGTTCCAACTACAGGGTCTTGGAAGGTCTAATGTATTATGCATCTGTCACCATTGTAGGGTTTAGGAAGGGTCCAATGTATACATTGATTTGGCTCATATTTTATCAATCCAAGCCAATGAAGAATAAGGAAAAACAATGTAAGATTAAGAAAAAGGAAAACAGAAGATACAATGAAAGATGGAAAAAAGATTCTTGATGTCTTGTGATATTAGATTTTAGGCTCTGTTTATTCATTATTTGACATGTTGACTCTTTATATTTGTTGGTCTTTTATGAAGCATGCGTGGCAAGTGCAAGAGCTGTTATGAGCTCATCTGCTTGTTTTAGATCACCTCTTAACAGAGTTTTAAAAGTACTTCTCTACTCTTACTAAAGGACATTGTTTTTTATGAGCTTTTGGAATTTTTACTAGCAACCTTTTTATGCCATGGTCGAAAACCAGATCTTGTTATAGCATTTTGTTGGTTGCTGAGGTTTAAATAGGCTTTTGCTGAATTGGGTTATGTCCTGAAATAGCATTGGATTGGTTTGATACAATTTATCTTTTAAAAGTAAAAATTGATGCCACCATAAAATATTAGTTATAAATCATCCCAAGTTATGGTATATAAGAGCATCTCCAACAACTATGCTATTTTAGAAGTTCTGGAATTTTGGAAAAGTTTGCTCCAACAGCTATGCTAAACTCTCCTCTAAAATAGAGAAGAAAAGGGAGAGAATGAAGAAATCCCTGAATTTAGAAAAAGAAAGAGAAAATATAGCATACCTGTTGGAGATGCTCTGAGTGAAGCTTAGAACTGCCTATAAGAAATGGAAGTGATAATTCACAGTTGTATATATTTTTTCTTATTCTTTGTTCGTATGTTAGATATGTACACTAAAACACGGTATAGACTCAATAGAACAGATTCTGCAGCCCTAGCTAGCTAATGATGGAAGCCATGGGAAGGAAGGGGGGAAAGCAGCACCAGAAATATAATGGCAACCTTAGACATGCCTGATTGAGCCGTCCTTATAACCAAAGAGTTTATAGTAGTGGTTTTGATAGTTCCAGTTTGTGATATCTCTAATTAAGCATCTGGCAAAGTGTTTATTGTTTTCCTTTAATGATTGATGGCAGATTTAAGAGTTACTTTGTCCCGTAAAGATTACCAGTGTTTACGCTGGGAGTCAAATCACATCACCTCACAACTCCAAAACTGACATGATGTTCAATTTTGAGAAAATATTTGCAATAACGTTCCATCGTACATGAATTGCCGCAGACAAAAAAATGTGTTAAAAAATTGTAGAAGTTGAACATGACCAACACAATGTACTATCTGGATTCTGATAATGGAGCCCGTTTAGGTGTATAGAAAATGGTTATAGATTAAATGAAAGAGTGGATATTCATTTCATGCAGACGATTGTAACTGGAACCAGGCTATTGTAACTTCTATTGAGTTATGTTGAGCGCATGCCGTTCATTGAATTATGTTAAGTTGATTAAGTTATTGCTTCATCCCATAAAACTGTGAGAATCAGGTGACCAGGTTGAAGGTTTTTCTTAAAAACAACGTGCTCTGTGATTGTATGTATTATATCATTATTGCATGGAGATATATTAATCAGCAATTTTTTTTTTCGAACAGAGAGGAAATTGCGGTGCAGATAACTTTGCTGATCAATCTCCACCCATAAAAAATGGTTCTGTTGATGAGGGTAATATTGTTTTCGCCCCAGCACTGCTGACAAATGTACAGAACTTGGTAGAATCTGACTTGAATGGCTCTGCTGGCTTCAAAGCAACAGATCATGGGGCTGCTCGAGCAGTTTCCATGGATGTACCATTGCAGCAAAATACATTTGAGGCCGAGCCTACCCACACTTCTCAGGGATCTTTTCCTGACGTTGAGCTCTTGGCTTCCCAATCACGAACACAACCTTGGAATGCCAGGCCTGTATCAAGTGAGGGTGCTATTCAAAGCTGCACCCCAAGTGAGATGGAAGAATTGAAGATGCAAAGGGAAGAAGCTAGCATCTCAAATGCCTATTCCAAGGGGTGAGCATCTGCTTTAATTTCTTAGGTTCATCATTTTTTGAGTTCAGATATAGGATATGTTAAGAGTTCCATATCGGTACACTTGGACCTATTTTTCCCATTATGTGTTGGAACCTCCATCCTCTCCTCAAGGGCTCCTTTGGAGATAGTAATCTAAAGGGTCCCACATATTGTCACATGGTATCAAAGTCAATTTCTACCACTCTTGGGACTAGACATTTTGGGACAATCCGTGCGCGTTTAGCCCCCACTCAACACTTTGAGACAATAGTCTTTGTTGGAGGGGGCGTGTTAGCGTCCCACTTTGACCTATTTCTCCCAATATATCTTGGAATCTCCATTTTCTCCTCAAGGGTTCTTTTGGAGAGGGTAATCTAAAAGGGTTTCACATATTCACACAGGATAATACTTGTTAGCCATCACGACAATTTTTTTTCTTATGTCAGCCACGTAGGTGGCCGCTATGTGATTGCTTTTGTTGGACATGTTGTCTGTTTGATTTTGATCTGATTTCGCATGAATGCCTAACATCCCAAATTTATGAAAGGTGGCAATATTACGTTCATCTCCTAGATTATATCGATATGGTTCTTTAAGTGTCATGTACAACTGTTTGCCTATTTAGATGGTTACTCAGTCCATAGTAGGTGGGAATGGGATATATAAGTATATAACTCTTCATCTGCACATAAAATCCTGTAGCCCATTTCATTGTAATGAACTGTAATTTATAGATTTGATTTGGTGTTCCACAGGCTTTTGAATAATCTAACCCAGGCACTGGGTTCTTCCGGAGTTGATTTATCACAAGCCTGTATTTCTGTGCAATTTGATATCAGAAAAAGGGCAAGCAGTGGAGCAACTTCAACATCATTCAGTGTCAAGGTCAATGAAAACCTTATTGCAGTCATACCTTTTGTTTAGCCTTTCTTTGATCCTTATCTATGATCCTGCCTTTGAATTGTTTGGTTCTATTATTGAGCAAGCGTGGGCTTTCGTGAATCCTTCCCCGATGGAATTGCTTTGTTTCATTAAATTACTCCCGTTATCCCAAAATAAGTGTCTACAATAAAAAAATGTACTCCGTTTCAGAAATATAATCATTACATATTTAGTTAACTGAATGACAATTTTACCTTTACACACAGTTTTATAAATGTATAATTATTCCACTGAAGAATTTCTCCATCTCATCAGTTGTACATCTTTTGTGTCATATGAGGAAACTACTTATTGGAGCCTAGTCAGGCTATTATTAGGTCGTACTTTTTCGAAGAAACCCATTTTTTGAAGGACAAAAGCAAATAGTTACATCCCTTTGATCTTTAGGGTGCATTTGGTATTGCGGGACAGGACCGTACAAAAACTTGTCTCACGTGTGGCACAACCAATATTAGATGGGGATTGTATAGGACAACTGGGACAAAAATGCATTTTTTCTGTCCCACCAAAAATAGTTGGAACAAAACTAGGGAGGTGGGACAAGATTGGTAATTTACTAAACTACTCATGTCAAATTAAAACCCCCAAAACCTTCCACAATTCTTTCACCTGCGAAACTCACTTTTGCCTGTTCTGGCCGCATACCAAATGCACCTTTAGGTTATCTGATTCACAGAAACAACTGCTCTACTATTTTTTGGGGTAGAGGACAGTTTTGCATTTATCCCACCCCTTCTCATGACCCTACTCTTGAGTGGGAGATACTGTGTCGGTTTGGTTAGGTTATCTTGGTTCTATATTTTGCATAACGATATTTTCTCTTGCTACACTTTTAGTAGTTGCTTTATAAAAAATTGTAGACCATTATTACCTTTTCTTACGGGTTGATTAATTAACACACGGGGCATTCAGGATCATGATTTTCTATCTCCTGGTAATCAAGCAACGACACATTGTGCGGTTAGGAATGGAGATGACGTCTGCAATCAAGCACATAAGAGGCCGAGGACCGAACAAAACCAGTAATTACTCTTTCCCATTCATCATTTCATTGTTGTCAAGTTTTTTCAGTACGAAATACGGTATGTTGTTTCGTTTGTACATGTTTATGCACGTAGAAAATGGCCAAAATTGTTTCGGAATGTATTTATGTTATTTGTAGTCATAGGATTTCATTGCATATTAGAGATTTGAGACAACTTTTTGATTCATTTTGTTTGGAGAGAAGAAGAGAAAAAAGGGATGAAATGAAGTCACCATTTGTGAAAGTGTACTCATTTTCCTGTGTAAATCACCAAGGAAAATTGCTTCATAGTTTGTATGGGTTAAGTTGTCTGTCTTGATGAATTTACCTGTCTAAAGGACGGGAGACTGGTGGGGTGAGACATAGACAGACCCATTGTAGAGCATATAGTGGCCCGTGCTACCGTATTGTTCATCCATTGTAGTGTAAAAAATTAGTGTCGTGAAAAGTGTCGCCATATATATTTTGAAACTACAATAAGAATACAAGTTTTTTTTGTTAGTTGGTTTGCAAGGCTTTTCTTCCACCATAGACCCGAGTTCGAATTCTGTTAGTGTAATTTTCTTAGTTTTTTGTATTTATTTTGATTGGAACTTGGTGATGTCGTAAATGTTGGTAACGTGGATATTAAGTTATCAAATTATACCAAAGGGCATTTGGCCTAACGGTATCGTAGCGTTTGGTCTCTTAGGAGGTCAAGGGTTCAAACTTCACCATAGATGAGGAGGGTGTGTGAGTTTATTTGTTGCATTTGTCGTATATAAATATTATATGCTTCAAAATAAAGTTATCAAATTATATTGTAATTTTTGATTACGTAGAAGGATGTCATACTAAAAATCATTTGATGTTAGGTAAGTTCAGGTAAAATAGGTATGAAATAGGAAGAACTGAATGTTTATTATTTTAATTATGAATAATAATCCAGTCGAAGAATCATGTGAGAATATAAATGAAGGTGAGAAGTGGGGTTTAGACTCTTGATCATTTTTAATCTCAAACACAATCCATGAACTGTGTTTTAGAAGGGAATTGATTCAGTGTTTCTTACTAACACTGATCTAGTGGAATTCTTAAATTAAGATTGATCCAAAAGATGGAGATCTTTGCTTACCTTTCTCACTGAAATCTAACCCTTTTGAATATGCTGCTCGAGGACCATAATTTTTTTTATTTCGAATTCAATTTAAAAGTAAAAAACATCGATTTCCCGTCACTATGAAATTGAATAAAGATTTTAAAAATACGTCCAAGTATCACCTTCGATTCTAACAGCTATTCTAATTTTAACAATTCCAGATTTTATTATATTATTAAAATATTTAATTTATTTTATATATTAAATTGTGTTTATAGTAATGAGGTGTGTACAACTATACACTATCAAGGTTCTCTTTATTAATATAATTGCAATTATTGTTCTTTTGCTTTGTGCAAAAGTTATATATAAATATTAATTAAAAAAAACAAATAATTTAATACCCAAAATTCAAATTCCTATGTTGAAAAAGGGTATTTATATAATAGGGGGATAGGGTCTTTTTGGAGTTGATGTTGAATAAGCCCCAAAAAGCTCTTCTTCTTGGATCATTCAACCATTTGGGATTTCTTGGATCACAACCCTCAATTAGTACACTTATTAATTATAATATCAAGGTTTGTGCACCCCTAAAAAAGAGGATCAAGATACATGTATTTATATAGTTAAGCACTGGGTTGGGTGTCTTAATTTGAAAAGTCAAATTTGAATTCGGGTTTTGGTTCGTTGATTTTCTAGGGTTATGTTCGGTTGTGAACTTGACTTCTCTTGTGGACCGAGGGATAAACGCGAGTACAACATGTTGCCATGTACATTTACATGGTATTTATGTTCGGTTTTTTCATGCCTTCAGCGTGTAGCTCAATTGGCAAAAGGATGTGACTATTTTGCCAAAATGCAAGACTGGTCCCAGTTTTGAATCTGGGCTCCCGATAGCCTCAGTTGTTGATTGAGCCAAAAAATACTCTCTCATATTGATATCCTTGAAGATGGGTTCATGTAGGACCAGATGAAGTTATCGATAATCAATTTTTTTTTACCTAAATAACTTTTACATAAATTATTATTTAATATAAGACATGAATATTAATTATTAAAATATATATATAATCATGAATGATTATCCTAAAAAATAGAAAGGGAGAATTATTTTGTTCCCCCATACCATTCATCAACGGGATTCCACACTATTACCATCATTAATTTCATATATTATTTAATATAATTAATCATTGATTGAATGATTAAATTATTTTTTTAAAATTCAAAAAAAATTCCTCTCACAAAAAATATTAAAAAAATAAAGAAAACTTGTGTATGCATGATGAATGTAAGAAATTCACGCATGTTATTCATGATGAATGTATACATATATTTTATCTTTTGTCTTCCGGTTCACAACAGATACATGTGCGTAATTGATCTCCCCTCCCCTCCCCTCTTTCTCTCTCTCTCTCTCTAGAGAGAGCGCGCGTTTAAGTTCATACGTTAAAAAAAAAAAGTAACCAAATAAGATAATAAGAAAACGTTCAAATCAAAAGTGATTTTATACTAACATCACATGTGATTCACGCGACTTTGGTCGCCCACGCTTGCATCGACCACCAGTGTAAAACCACATGTGATTTTGCATGTAATCAGGTTGTTTCCATGTTCTTTTATTTAGTTACTGTTCTCATTTAAACCTCACTCATTACATATATGTGTGTGTTTTACAAAATATGGTAATGACCCATGTAAGGTAAAAGGTCGTGTATATCGTCTTACGAGTTGTTCTTTTTCCTTACATTAAAACATGTTTATAATAAGATACTGGTTATCGACATCAGATACCCAATTCAGCAATTTTCTGACCGTTATTTAAAAAATCCAGTAAAATAACAAACAGACACATGATATTGTTTAAGCTAGAAACTTTATGTATATTATATATTCAAAATACTCTCAAATGTATTGAATGTTACATGTCCAAATCCCCTTTTTATGCCTTTCATCAACACACATGAACATGATACATTTTCTCCAAGAAAATGTATATACCACAAGTATACAATCAACTATCACAAGTAAGAATCATCACTAGTTATGAATCCAAGCACTCATATGGGTTTGCATAAAAGTATTCTTCTTCTTTTGGTCGGTCGGAAATCGTTACTCGTCGCGTTGGCCGTCCCATTCGGTCCACGTGAACTTCCTTCACCGTGTTTGAGAACTCATCCCAGCTCAACGACCCTTCGCTGTAACGGTCAATTAAGTCAATCAAGACCTTTCTATCAAACCGAATCGTCTTCTTGAATCCCAAGTATCTGGTACGTTCCGACAAAATCAGACCAAGAGCATCATGTGAGAGGCAAATCAGGTACACAGAGGCCTGCTAGGTGGCAAGTGCCCACAAGAATCCCAATTTTCCAAAGAGATGGTAATTCCACACTTGCGGCTATCAGACTCATAGAAGTATGCTAGGTGGTTGGCTTAAGAGTCCAGTATGCCCACAAAAACCCTGATCCCCAAAGGAATTGTAACTCTCACCCTGTGACTCTGATAGCCACAATGTGAGAGTTACAATTGAGTTGGGGATTGGGCTCCTTGTGTTGTGGGCACACTGGGCTCTTAATGGTATGCTATGTAGCCGGCTTAAGAGCCCAGTGCCCAAGAGGAGCGCGATCCCCAAAGGGACTATCAGACTCACAAAGGTTTGCTAGGTGGGTCAAGTGTGCTCACAAGGAGCCCAATCCCCAAAGGACTGTAACTCCCATATTGCAGCTGTCAGACTCAAACCCTCGTCTGTTTGTGCAAGTATACCACCCCAGAACCAACTGTGTTTTATGCTACAAAAGAAATCGTTAATGGCATACCTTCGATGACCCTCAACGACCCTAGCCATGTTCCCGTCATACGTTGGAACAAATATATCACTTTCTAAAGAAACATAGTAATCGAGTGCAGCCATTTGTGATGAATGGTTCTGAAAGAACCCGAGCTCCAACCGGTCCAGCAGCATCTCCTTTCGGACCTGTTCATGGCTAACTCGTTAGCCAACATACCGTTAGACGAAAGAAAAATAGTTAAGAGCAATGCTACAGACCAGATTCGGGAACTCCGTAGCCAAACTAGCCATCCGCCTTTCGCCGCCGTAAATTTCACCAGCGGCAATGTAAATTTGAATGTTACGATCAATTCTCAACGCCCGTAGAATCAGAGCAGTTTCTTCCGGTGTCATGGGACACAACCCTTCTTTCCTCTTGAAATCAGAATCAATTTCTTTCTCTTTCCACCACGGATAAGCATATCTAACGATTTCGGAAATATACCGAAATGAGATACAAGATAAAAACAAAATAGGGTATAAAGAAAAAATCGAATCTTGATTCGAAGATCACCTCATTCTTGTCAATTCTTCTATTTCGTCACCGTTGCAGCCTTGCGTGCAGCCAGAGAAAGCCAGCATATCCATTTCGTATCTAAGATGAAGAACTAAAAAAGGCCCGTTTTTCCGGAGGATATTCACAACTTTTCTACCTAATTCCTCAATCTGCGAAGTGAATCTAAGACCGCTGAAATTTACTCTACAACGCAGTTTTTGAATCTCTAAAGGAAGCCCATTGTTGGCAAGCCGAGCATCAGTTCTATTTAAATGTACAACTTTATACCTCCGGATAAGCGGAAGGATCTGTGGATGAATAAATACGTCAACAAATTAGACTCATTTTCGCGTTAAAACCTGTGCAGGTGATAGGATTCAGCTAAATGACCTCAAGACAAGTGCTTTTCGAAAGCTATGACCTTTTGACAGGTTTCTAGGCATTCTTATGTTAAGCGGTGACATTTTCAAACATGTTAGATGGTCATTTAACCAAAAGGACCCGATGGTTTATGGGCGTAACACGAACCTGATGATGATAGTATGAAATATCAGACCAACTAATTGGTGCCAACGAGTGAAGCTTTCCGAGCTCAACTCTTCTTTTAATCCGTGGGGGAAGCTCTTTCAATATTCGAACCTCATCCCTCAACGACTTGATGAAATGATCAACGTCAAAGATGTCCTCAAAGTCACTGGACCGTAAATTCCAAATCTTGAATCAGATTTCAATCATTTTTGTGTAGTTTTCGGGTTAAATTAATTGGGAATACGATGAACTTACCTTGGATCAGCCCAAAATGACGACTTATCCAATTCGGGAACGATTAGCGTGACGTTTAAGTATCTAGCAACAGCAACCATATCACAAATCTGCATACCCGAATAACAAATTAGCGCATTAATCGGTTAATCGTTCAGAAATTGAAGCAATTCCATATTGAAAATGGAAGTAGAACAGCAAACTACTCACTGCTCCTCTCATTTGATTAAGTCCTCCATTGCAAGAAACCATAAGATAACCATTGTTCTTATAATCCCCTGCAAACAGATTCAAGTTCAAGATTAGCAAAACTTTCAAACCCAAATCAAAATTTATACAAATTTGAAAAGAATCGTTCCGCAGAGTTGGATTTCAAGAAAAATTTCAGCTGAAACGGGAGATTTTAATACAATCACTAAGCAGATTCATGTTCAAGATTTGTACGACTCCCAATGAAAAATGCATCATGAATTCGACAACAAATTCATATGAATATGATAAGAGTTTATTCTGAATACTTTGCCATTCAAGAAACTTTTCAGCTGAAGAACTTGAAACTGAACACAGTCAACCAAGAAATGGAAGATTTCAATACAATTACTAAAGAGGAAACAATCAGAAATACATTAATCTACGTTCAAATGCTGCAAATATCCATCTTTAAGAACCGGATGAAGTATGCAATTCACAATGAATCAACCAAATGAATAACCAGAAGGAAGATTTCAATACAATCACTAAACAGCAAACAAATAAACTATGCATAGTCAAAATGAATCAACCAAATAAACTATGCATAATCACAATGAATAAACCAAATGAACTATGCATAATCAAAATGAATAAACCAAAATAAACTATGCACATTCACAATGAATAAACCAAATGAATAACCAGAGCAGAAGGAAGGAACCTACTTTTTGGGGGAAGAAAAACTCTGGACTCCATGAAAGAAGGAGAAGGGAGGTTAGTCTGAGGAGGGGTATAACAAGAAGGCCAAGTTTTCAACAATCTTGGACCCCAAACCTCACCCACAGTCAATAATTGAACAACACAGATCCATATCAACAAAGTTGTCATTCCTCTTGTCATCCACAATATCATCTTAGCTTGAGACAATACCATCAAACTTGATTTGTCTCCTTTACTACCTTCCCCACCACCACCACCACCAACACCCCCAAATGTTACACAACCACCCATTTCATTCAACTGCTCCTCCTCCTCACAGTTCTCAACTAATCTACAACACATTGTACTGAAACCAACAGAACCACCATTTTCTACTTTCTTGATTGCATTTCAGCAAAACCCTTGATTCATTTTTTCAATCTTTGATTCTGAAATCAACAGAAAGAAGACAATCAAAGAAGTGGGTATTTTAGATTTGGTAATTGATAATGTGGGTATTTGTTTAATATAGAAAAAAGCAGCAACCTGATCCAATCATATTCTAATCCCTATTATTTGCAGAAATCAAGAAAGAATCCCAAAGTTGTGATGAAAACGAAAACGCCTCAACTATCGATTTCTTTTTTAACTCTTGAACGAAATGCTTGTTTTTGAATCTCGTATTGATCAATGTAATCAATTAAAGCACCAAATGAAGACAGTACCAGAAACCCTTTTCAGTCTTTGATTCTTGGATAAGTTTTCCGACCAGATTTCGGCGAGTTTCGCCGGAAAACAGAGAGAGAGAAGGAGAGAGTAGGAGAGAGATTGTAAGTCGGTGAATAATTGTTGAAAGATGAGAAGGGATTTTTGTTTATATGTAGTTAATTTGTTGAGCTGTTAGAAGACGAGTTGAAACTGGATTTTTGAGCCTCTAATTACGGAGCCGATTGATTACTATTGCCTTTTGATCATTCTTTTTTCTTTTACAGCAATATTCACATGTGAAGCTTTTTCAAGATTCGATACTAAATCAAGTTTTGATCATCTATCATTATTAAGACATTCGTTTTGTGTTTCATCTATTTGGTTATTCATGGTTTTGTTATTGCTTTCAGGAATTTACTGCCAAAAAATTCGTAATTTATCGTAAGAAATCGTTCAAAAAACGGTTGTATGAAACGATCTTTTTTCTGTGAATGAATGAAGTGTCGCTATGGGGATTTTCTTCCTTTTGCCGTTTAAATGAACGAAGTTTGAAAGCGATGCTTTTTATACATCAAAGATCACATTTTTAGAAAGACGTTTAAGGGGATAAAAAATGAAATAACGTGTTCATTCGACCGTACTTAAAAAAGCGTCGATTTTGTCTCGTATGTATGCACAAAATGCATGTTACAATTTCTCGTATTTGCTTACCTTTTTAGTATAATCTTTTTCTTACATATGCAATTGGACCAGAGAATGCGATTGCGTTATAATGTCGTAATTGAACCATGTTTTTTCAGGGTAAGAAGGGGTACAGAAAATGCCTCGAGCCAACGGATAAGTCACCCTTACTGCCACTCTGCAGAACCGTACATGAGATTTTCAACAGACTTGATAAATACTGATAACTCTCGGATAGAGCATTAGAACGGAAAGATCCTTAAATATAATTTTACTACTCTATGACGATAAAATATCACGGCACCATTCACGATAACCTAAAAGTCTTGAGTCCAATTTCGGTTTCGATTCGGTTTTTCAAGTTAAAATCTTGTATGTTTTACTATTTTCAATAGTGTCTTTTTTTACGAAGGGGTAAAAATGTAATTTTAATACTCTATGACGATAAAATATCAAAGCTTCATTCATGATAGCCTAAAAAACTCGAGATCAATCTCATATTCGATTTGGTTTTTCAAGTTAAAATATATTGTATTTGTTTACTCGTTTCAACAATGTCTTTTTTTACGGGGGTTAGAATGTAAATTAATACTTACTGCTTTTTCTTAACGCTATTATTTACTTACCTAATAAGATTTTAGTCCACTAAAACGACATCATATGCAAACAATTTACTCGGCAAATGCTTATCGTGGTAAAAGTCATCGCCCTCACTTACCGGGTAAGACTCTTGGTCCTTGTCTCATTCTTACCGGATAAGATTCTTGGTATTTACCATATTCATCCGGTGAAGAAACATGACTTGATAAACGCTTACCCATATAAATATTTGATAAACAGACCCTTAGTTTCATTCAGTTTTTCGAGTCCTTGAAAGAATCTTGAAGGACAATAATGAAAGAATTTGATTGTTTTGGGGTGTTTCTGTAAAAAATGAAACATTGGTGGTAATGCAGAAAATGTGACATTGTTCATACTTTTTCCACTTAGTTTTTCCATAAAATATCAAACACATCATTCATGAACCTCAGAAGTATAGAAAGTGTTAATGTTGTATTTTCTAGTTACAATTAATGACCATAAAAAGGACCATTTTAGAGGTGTTCATGAGTTGAGTTGATCGGGTCGAAAATATTTGAACAGTCCAACTCAATATCTACGGTTTAAAAAATCTTAATTCAACTTAACCCAAATCAAAGTGCAATACAACTCAACCCAAATCGTACGGGTTGGTCGGGTTGATGCTTGATATATTAAAATATTATTGTAAACTTGAATATGTTGTTTCTTTACTCATAATTTATTTTTCATCATCAACTATTTGATACAACTTATTCATACTTCTTAAATCTTATGTATATCGCATTCAATTGATTTTCTCAATTTACATATATATGTTCACAGTTACTGAACATATATACGAATGAGTTTTATAGAGATGGAGAATATATTGAAAATATGTGTAAATGAAGAGAGTAAGTGATAGCGTAATTGTGTAATGTATATATTAATATAAACTCAACAATCATATTAAATACAAGGATATCGGGTTCATCGGGTTGGGTTGATTTCAAATAATAGTAACTCAATTTCAACCCAATACCTACGGTTTGAAAATTTCACAGCTCGATTAGACATCAGAATGCTTCAGATTGAATTGTTTCGTATTGGGTTCGTTTGGTTGGTCGGGTTTTTAAACACCCCTAGTTTTCTTCTTTGTTAAGCCCTTATTTTATAATTAAAAATGTCTGAAAATTTCATTAAAATTTAAAAAAACAAGTATTGTATTTATTTTATCTGATTTATACCATCATACATTTTCATCTCTTTTTTCATTCAGTTGAAAAACAAATGAAAAAAGGCAGCAATATGAATGTCAAATTAAAAAAAATGAATTGCTCAGTTATTTGAATAATTTTTATGTCAATAACCACGTCAGGAAATAATACTGAGTTATATATCATATCACTCGTCACATCATCATAATAACCGGTTAATGTTTCAACTAGTTACCAGGGTACTTAAATGTTTAAAACTTTACACCTTATGTACCAAAATGAAAATTTTGAAAATACGTTACCAAAAATATGAATCAAGTTAAAGTACGTTATTTTTTTTTCATACAATTTGCCCTATTAGATTTAAAAGGAACCAGGTAATTTTGTTTTAATTTAAAAATAATAATATATTAAATTGAAATTTAAATAGGTTTTTAATTTGTTGAAATTACCCTCTTAAATCAACTAATAACCACCAATAAAAATGTCATTAATTTTTAATTTATTACCTTCTTGTCACAAGGTCAATCTCAATTATATATTAAATTAAATGGAAGGTTGATAATAAATAAGATGAAGTATTATTAATTATCCATTAATTATCACGTGAGAATGAGAGTTAAGGTGAGAAGCGTGAGAAAGAATCTGAACCTTTCATCACCTTTAATCTTAAACCCATCCATGAATCACACTTGATACGAGAATTGATTCGGTGCATCTCATCTCAGTGCATTGAATGTTAACATGCATCCAAGGGTGTAGATCTTTTCTTACGCTTTTTACCTTAGCTCTCCTTCTTAACAGAACCCAACCATATTTTTCAATAACGACCAACTAAAAGTCATCAGTATGATTAAGTACCAGTTCTTGAGTTTTCCATTTAGTCTGAAATATAATCGATTAGTTAACTTGATATCGAGAAATTGTTTATTGATTCAGCATTTGAACACGAAACAGTGATACCAAATATACAGGCTTAAACGAACAGGTCACAGGTGAACAGTATTCGATCATAGCGGGCTGAACCGTGTTTTGACTTTTGTAGTTCAATGAACGGTTTGCTTTTTTAAAACGTTATAAAATATTAAACCATCAATACGTTGGTTGTATAACTCTGTTCTGTTAGTGAAGGACGAAAGTCTGAGACCAATAATGGCTCATTTTCCTATACAGTGATAGAAATGGAAGAGGTCTTCTTAAGGCCCCACTCAATCTTGTTTTTATACATAGAACAAATTCATGTCGTTAAGAAAAAATGTGAATACATATTTTCTTAACGAATAATAGTTGGGTTCGTTTTTTTTAACGTATTTTCTTAACGAATGAACATGAACACGAAAATTACGTTCATTTAGTGTTCGTGTTCATTCATTTATTCGGTTAAATTAAACGAACAAACACAAACAGAACAGACAGAAACAAACCGTCATTCACTTTGGGCCTGTTTTTTTTTCTTTTTCAAATTAGCTCTTAATACCTTTGAAGTCTGATTTGTTCAAACGTTTAGGTATTAAGAATGTTTGTTTATTTTTAAAATAAGAGCTTAAAATCTCTAAATGTAATCTGAAATTTTAAGTGGTAAATGTATCTCTTAATATCACTTAATCCTAATCCGCCATCTACCAAATGGTTCATATTTTGGGGGTTGGAAGATACTTGTTAGCAAAAACAAGTTATATTTTATACTTTTGTAAAAAACTATTTATCTTTTATATTTTTGCATTAGTTTGATTGATTCAGATTTCGGATTTCAGAAATAAAAACAAACAATTTTACTGATCCAGATTTCAGACTTCATGATCACCTCTTATCTATACTATATTATAAAACATTTGATAAAAACTCTTAAAAATATTTTTTATGCATATAATATTGTTTATTGATGCATATTACTTAAAATTCAAGATTATAAGTAGATTGTGCGTAACTACAACTTATTAAAGCTTTATGTTTGAATTCGTGTAACTAAATGCAGATAAACATAATTAAATACATGATAAACATCTCATGTTAATTATAAAAAATCTAAAATATAACTGAGATAATCATCGAGTTCTAACAAAATACTTAGTTATTATCTTTATAAAAAATTATATTATTATATAAAAAATAAATTGCTTCGTTATTAAACTTAAAAATTATATTATTAAACCAAAAATTATATTATGTTATTTTTTCAAAATTTTATGATATTTTCAATTTTATATTTTATTCAAAAATAAAAACATTATCGCTTTCTTAAATTCACATAAAATCGTATTCTGACATCGATACAGATAAGAATAAACGAAACATTAAGATCGATATGTATCTCGCTATATTGCACAAATATTTTTCTAATAAATCAAAAATGAAATCATACTTCAGATTTCAGCACCCCAAAAAAATAAACGCAACACACACACACACACACACACACACACACACACATATATATATATATATATATATATAAGCATTCAAATAAAAACCGTCTCCATTTGTGTAAACCGTGTAAACTAATCTCATCCATCTATTTTATTGATCAATGGTCAAGATTAGTTTACTTTATTTTAGGAAATTAAAAAAATATATATTAAAAATTTATTTTATATCAACAATAAGGGCAAAATTGTAAACAAAAATACATTAT